AGGATGGATAAAGTAAAGTAAAATAGGTTCTTTGTTGTTGTTTGTTTGTATGTTAGTGTTTTGGCACCTATATATGGCTGCTTGCACTGTATGCTTCCCAGGAATTTGAGTTAGTTTAAGAATGCTCATAGGTCTGCTGGGGTAATAGTATAGATTGTGAAGGGCATCAGCGGTGGGTAGGTGAGTGGGGGGTGTGGGGAGGGCGTTAATTGATTTTGTTCTGTTGTGTCTAATATTATATTATATTGTCGTACTCATCTTAGCTAGTTTGATAGTTTGCTTCTATCAGATCTGATCTGATCTGATCTGTTCTGATTGTACCATAAAATCCTATTCAAAACAAACTTATTCTTAATCTAATCTAATCCAATCTAATCTAATCGTCTCTTATCTTATCTTACCTTACCTTATCTTATCTTGGCATATGTGTATGTTAGAGTGTCATGTCTAATCTCATCTGATCTGATCTGATCTGATCTCATCTCATCTGATCTGATATCAACTGATATTTTTGTATCCTACTCTCTTCCCCTCGCCCTCTCCCCTCCTCCCCCTGTCACCACCTGTACATCTCCACCCCCCCTCTCTCAGGCTGTCATCTCGTGGGACGGCTCCCAGTTTGTGGAGAAAGCCACCATCGAAGGCCAGGAACTCACCAACTACCGGAGAGTGGAGGGCGGCCTTCTCGTCGCTGTAAGTCCAGCCCCATTCCTTCCTTTTTGTCGAAACTGTTGGATAATTGGTCGCTTTTAAGCTCAAACGTGCTATTCCGAAAAATGCTGTTTTGAGAAAATCGAAGTTAAAGTTTTTGCCCCTTGTTCAGTTTCTTTAAAAGATCAGGAGAATTTTCTCTATAGCCAAACAAATATACACACCGACGAAACCAAACTTCTCATATAGGTAGGGCAATGGCCACTTTTGGAGTAGGTCAAGGTTTCTGGATACTCCCGAAATCTGGGTTTAGCCCGCTTGTCCTTAAAAGAGACCAATTATGTAAATGTTCATGTTTTATGTTCATTTTGACAAAATGTAGATCATTTAGGAGACGGGCTACCTCGATCCTGAGTGCCAGAGCCAGCCTGAGAGACGAGAGGCACATCATACTGACGTGAGGACATAGTTGGCCCTATCGCTACCTCAGATTTACAAAGTTCTATCTGATCAGTACCTAGTTTTGAGAAATTTGACGAAAACAAGTTTGAGTTCCACGACATGTGAAGCGTTGTCGAATGCAATTCTTTGAATGCCATCTTGATAACGACTTAAAACAATCTTACGATTTAGCTAGATCAGATATTATAGCATAGTTTGGTTTCTGACCTCAAGGTCTTAGCGACTCAAAACGGCAGAACATGTCAGATAGAACTTTGCAATTTTAAAGGAGCGGTATGCAATGATACAATGATATCAAATGCATTAAATACACACATACACAAACACCCAAAGACACACACACACACACACACACACAAACACACACA